TCATGACTGGGTCTTCGCGACATGATCAGGCGCCAACGCGGGGTGACCTGATCACAAATCTATTGCCCCTCAAGAAAGGTTTGGACAAAATGCTTGCGCGCTGACATTTTGAGGTAAGCCCTGTCAAATACTTCTACCGCTTTATCTAACATATTTTCTTCGGCAGAGATCCTTCAAGCTCCCCTCTCTGATTGCTACCGCGACCGAACTCGAGATCCTACGCGACATCCAACGCGAAACCTTACACCATATCTGACGAGAGAACCGAATACCAAGCCGGTGCAAGACCCGACCCGAAAGCGGCGACAGATCTGCTTAACCCCAAACCGGTCGATGGAATGAGAAAGATTCGCACAAAGACTTCGTCAGACCACAAGCTCGTCAAGAAGTGCGAGGAGGAGGTATGGGCACCCAGGACTGCAATGTGATTTACGCTCACTTCAGAATAGACTGGACATAAGTGTTCGAATCCCAGATGGCAGGACTTCAACGACTTGGCCCGGTATGTGCCAGGCCCGGATACGGCTTTTTTACTAGTAGACATGCACCTCAAGTCTGGTGAAGGAAAAGCTGTTTACATTCACGATTCCAACGACGAGCAAGTAGATATGGTTGGCATGGAGTACAAGGGGTTTACTGTCATAATTCCATGGGAGGCTGGACTCAAATTCGTTTGTTACGGACCATGTAGAGTCGCCGAAGTTGTGGTAACCGAAGTGAGTTCTACATGAGTCGCTTCTGACTGTGCGTTAAGTACATTGCTGCCTTGCCTGAAACTGGGAACATGATAAATGGAGAGACTCCTTCGATGAAAGGAACCGTTAGTGTACCTTCACTTTCCATATTAAACTCGGGATGCGAGAGTGCATGGATCACATCTTTTGCCGTCGCCCTGTATACCCTTTGTAGCTCATCTAGACAAGAGTCATTAAGATTTTTCGTCTATCAGAAGGATGCTGGACGTCATACCATCTTGTGATTGGAATGTATCGACGGAATTGATCGGATCGACTGGTGCTGAAGTTGGGAGATCCTCTTCGTCGTCACTGTCATCACTCTCGGCACATCGTGCGATGGTTTTGCCACCAACTTGATGGTCTGGTTCCACCTCGCGCCTAGCAGTCTCGATCTCGGGTCTGTGAAAGGCCTTACGAGTTCTAGTGGCCAGCTGAGAAGCCACAATGCTCCGGGCATTGATGTAAAGGTCCTGATAAGTCATGCCGCACTCATTCCGTACTTCTGACGATGCTCGGTCCCTGGTGTAGAACTCGCTGCCGGGCCGCGAGGTACGGTCATTCATTCCGCCTGGCTCAGAGTGTTCGGCCACTCTTCCGACTGACATCAGGTCCTTAGGCCCTCCATTTAGCCTGGCTCGTTTGGATGCGTTTCCAGAGTCCTTAGTCGAGCTTTTTTGAGTTGTATGGGGTGTTGACA